GGATCTGTTACGGAAAATTGTTGCACCAGGAGTGCGCATGTCACTAAAACTGCACCAGGTCAGACATTGAAATGTTACTGGCTCAACTAGAATGTTGCTGTGCTCAAAACAATTAGTGGTGCGCGTAGATGGCAGAAATTTTTGATTTAATTGAAAGACAAGGCAGATGCAGATTTTTTTTTTTTTCAAACCGGAAATTGTAACCGAGACGTTCTTTTACTCTTTCTACAATTTTGTCCAGTTTCACACAACACAGTTTCGTTTTCCGTTATTTTCCTTGTAGCGATATTTTCAAGGAGAGGTGAACGCCAATACTTTGGTAATAAGGCTAGATACTCTATGGCTACAAGCCTAGCATTTTTTTTACCCAAATCGTTTACACGATTACAAAATAACACGTTATCTTTTTAATTCTCATTATACAGGATCACTTTACCTCCCCGGACGAGTACGACGAACTTTCAGTTCTATACGATGCTATCACAGCTCACGAACAAAACATGGTCATCTCACACGAAGGAGATCCAAAATGGAGACAGGCTGTGCTTGCTAATACCCAGTCTTTATTGGCGCTCAGGTCAACTTTTATATAGAAGCAGATGCATAAGGCGCTTACCGCCCACTAAATTATTGAAAACGCTAATACCCTTAATCTCTCACTTGTTTTTTTTTTTTTTTTTTTTTTTTTTCAGGGTTTATTCTTGGCTTTCCTTTAATCTTCCTTGTTGGTTTGCTACCTCAAGTCAACACATTTTTAATGTACATACTGGAACAATTGGATATGCATTTGTTTGGAGGAAATGGTAAGTACATTACATCTGATCCTTGACTATTAGAGAGACTTAACTTGCTACTAAGTATTTTTTAGTGTTTTTTAAATTTTCATCTCCAAATGAATTGGAACCCCATGCATAACATTTGGTCAGAATACCATCATTTTGTCGGAGAGAACCTTGCAGTTAAAATTGTATGATTTTAGTCAACTGGTTGTCACCTAAATCTTCAAAGTCTTAAATATTTTGTGTGGATCTTCCTCTAGTGTCAGACCTCCCTTTGTATTTCAGTCAGTCAGTGAGTCAGTCAGTCAGTCAGTAAGTTAGCCAGTCTGTAAGTCAGTCAGTGAGTCAGTCACTCAGTCAATCAGTCTGCCAGACAGTCAGTCTGCCAGACA